AGAAGCCAAAGTAGATAAACCTATGTTTAGTGATTAATGTCTAACATTTTATCTTATTTGGAAACGATCTAGGCACTCAGATTTCTATGAAATAACTTAATTTAGCAAAACTCTAAGGTTTCAAGTTACCAAAAGGTTTTGAAGATATTTTTAAGTACATATACCATCACACATAATTATTGTTAAAAATTCCACCTAAAAACACTTTAATCTCCCTTAAATGTATTTAGTTTACTTGTTCCCAATAACTATATTTAGATTATGTACAAAGACATCAGGATTTATTAGACAAGGTCAGCAATCAACTTTTTGGTGCCCAATTTTGTAATAGAGCTAACATAAATTTGTTTAACTTTTAGTAAAGCTAGGTAGAACAAAAGTTTTATATTTAATGTTGATAATCTAAAGATGACAAAACTGTTAGCTTTAATACCAAAAATTTTCCTAGATCAAGTGATTCTGAAATTAATTTGGGTTAATTTCTATTATAATTGGATATAATTTATATAAATACTTATTTTAAGCTAAATAAATAGAGCTGTTTTAGAAATTACACCATCTGGAGGTAGATCCATATCACACATATATATAGCATACATATATATAGACACACATACATAAAGATCCAATAGCTATTGTTTTAAAATTACTGCCATGAATCAGGCACAGTAAAAGAAAGCTCACTACTTGTGAAAGAGTAATTGAATCTGAATTTTGTTTCTGTATATGGAATAAATCAAGGTTACTTGCTTAGATGACTAAAGCGTTTCTCTGTTAATGTTTGTGGAGAAGACACTTAAGATGCTAGATTTTGGACGGGGGCACCTATAGCTGTTTGATTCTTTTTCCTTTTTTTTCCTTCAGTCTTAGGAGTTGTTGATGGTCTAGATAACAGTTTCCAGAGAGGTTACAAGCCTTTTGAGATAAATTAGGGAGGTTTCTGGGATTGGTGAAAGGGAATGGGTGGAATCTGAATTGCCTCTAGAGCTGCATTTCCAGTTTTCCAAAGAAGTGTAAAATAAGGACAGTTGGTCTTAATTCCTCAGAGTTTGGGCTGTAACTTAAATGATGTCATAGGTTGATCGACTCTTCCAACTACATCATCCTTAATTTGCTTCTTTCCCTCTGGGTACATAGTTCTATTTTAACCTAGGGAAGAAGGCCTATAAAAAATTCCTATCAGGCTCTGAATATCAGCTTACAATCTGGCCAAATTTCTGATCATGTTACTAAATCCTTTCAAATATCTTGTCATGTTTTAGCTGGGCCAAACAGTAAATATTTCTGGCAGTATTAAACAACTCCATTAATTTTACTTTCTCCTTAACTGTTTAAGGGAATAATAATAGTAGTTTACCAGAAAATCTCTCAGTGTCTCATTAACTTGGAGGGACTCATATGGGGCCCTCCTTTGAAGGTAGATACGGGAGTGTTTCTAAAGCCATTAACTTAACAGACTTCTGTATAATATTTTCTTTTAGGTACCTGTTATATCTTAATTTTTCATTAACTTTGTGAATGAAACCTTTAATGAGGCTATTTTGGAATTTTGAAGGCTTTGCCTTTAAGTGCACTTCTTAAATTATCTTATCTAGTTGGAATGTTTTTTCTAGTGGCCAGTGTAATTCCCCTGAGGCTGGCGGCAGTTTGGTAGGACCCTAGCTGTAAATGGAGTTCAACCCACATTTCTGTCCCGCCATATCTGATTGCAAATGGGGTCCCCAACCTGATGGTTGCCATGGTTGACATGAAATAAGCTTAGTAAGATTTTGCTGTTCTTTGTAAACATTTGCAGCTTCTGACCCATAGTTTTAAGCAGGTATGACAGAAGGTGGTGTATTTGACTCTTTAGAAATTAAAGATTGCATTTAACTTGTGTGGTCTGCAGTTCTCAAATCTAGTGCACAGAAAAACAAGTTTTGGATGCTCAAAGGAGCCCCAAAATGGCCACCACAATTTTAAATAATCTTTAGTACTATTGGTCCACTGGAACAAAAATTTACAAGAGGAAAGACAGTAGTTCTTAAACATAAAACCAGCTGGACTTCCCAAAGGAGGAACTTCTTGGAAAGCTTTAGAAAATAAGTCCCGTGGTGAAGAAAAGTGTGCAACTTAGAATGATTATAGGTTTCTTTATATGCACAGTAACAGGGTTAGCTAAGCCATGGATCTCTTGGGGCCAAATTAATACCTAAGAGGGATGTGCCACAGGGTTGGGGATTGTGTGATGTTTTTACAGTGTGCCTCATGCATGGAAATTTCCTTGAGGTTGGCGGGTGACCTAGGCATCAATCTGACCCATTCATTGACCAACTTATCCTATCATGGGAGACTTCTTGAGGTGGCAAGAGCCCTAAGGGCTCTTAAATGCTTGACCTGTACCCACCAATTTTGTGGAGTTGGCTTCCAAGATATCCCTTAGCAATAGCTTTAGCCTCATGTGCATATTAACCCAAAGCAAAGTTTGTCTAAGCAGAAATTTTTACTGAGGGAATCCTTTCCAAAATTCAAAGTACTCACATATCTAGAGAGGAAATCTTCTCCCTCAGCAAAAGCCGCATCAGTGTTGTAACCAGGGAGAGAAACCTCCTTGCTTGAGAGAAACCTCTCCTGCAATGACGAAAGGCACTGGACCAATCCCAAAGACACTGACCTCAATCAAAGGAAGGGAGGTCCGAGGCTGAGAGTTCCCATGCTCTGAGGAGTAGGCTGTCCATGGAAGTGGCTGAGCACGTGAGGGGGCTTATGTTGGTACCAAACCTGTTTCCAGGGGATGCTGGTCCTTGAACGTGAGATCACTTGAGGTCCCACTTTCTGACACCATATGTCAACCTACAAAAACAGAAACTAGTTTAAAAGGCAACACATTTATTTGGGATCAAAGTATTGCAATTAGGGGAGCACAGATTAGGTAGAAACCCAAATAGTGTCCTGATTATAGGAGAGGGCTTAGGGTTTTTATGGGAAAAAGGGAGGATGAGGTGAGTTGTATTAAAGAAGAGTTCATTGGTACTAGATAAGGTAAGGCTATGTTTGTACTTCAGAGATTGGCTTGAGGTTTGATCATCAGGCATAAAGTTTGACTTATAGTTCATTGATTGGTTAGCATTCTGGCCATCAGGAAAGTCCAGTTCCATATGTTCTTACAGACAGGATATTCTTTTTAAAAATTATTTTATTGAGGTCACATTGGTTTATAATACTGTGTAAATTTCAGGTGTACATCATTATATTTTGGCTTCTGTATAGACTGCATTGTATTCACCACCAAAAGTCCGGTTTCCATCTGTCAGCCTACATATGTGCCCCTTCACCCCTTTCACCCTTCCCTCATCCCCTTCCCCTCAGGTAACCACCAATCTGTTTTCCTTATCTATAGGTTTGTTTGTTTGTTTATCTTCCACATATGACTGAAATCATACGGTATTTGTCTTCTTCTGTCTGACTTATTTTGCTTAACATAATACCCTCAAGGTCCATCCATGTTGTTGCAAATGGCACGATTTCATCTTTTTTCTGGCTGAGTAGCATTCCATTGTATACCTATACCACATCTTCCTTATCCATTCACTTGTTGATGGGCACTTGAGTTGCTTCCAAGTCTTGGCTATTGTGAATAACGCTGCAGTGAACATAGGGGTGCATATATGTTTTGAATAAGTGTTTTCATGTTCTTTGGATAAATACCCAGAAGTGGAAAACCTGGATCACATGGTATTTCTATTTTTACTTTTTGAGAAATCTCCATACTGTTTTCCACTGTGGCTGCACCAGTTTGCATTCTCACCAGCAGAGTAGGAGGGTTCCCTTTTCTCCACATCTTCTCCAACACTTGTTATTTCTTGTCTTCTTATTAGCCATTCTGATGGGTGTGCGGTGAGATCTCATTGTAGTTTTGATTTGTATTTCCCTAAGAATTAATGATGTTGAACATCCTTTCATGTGCCTGTTGACAATCTGCATATCTTCTTTGGAAAAATATCTGTTCATATCTTCTGCCTGTTTTTTGATTGGGTTGTTCTTTTTTCCTGCTGTTGAGCTGTATGAGCTCTTTATATATTTTATAAAATAACCCCTTATCTGATATATGATTTGCAAGTATTTTATCCCTGTTTGTGGGTTGTCTTTTTGTTTTGTTGATGGTTTCCTTTGCTGTGCAGAATATTTTAAGTTTGATGTAGTCCCATTTATTTATTTTTTCTTTTGTTTCCCTGCCTGAGTAGACATGGAATTCAAAAAGATACCGCTAAGACTGATGTCAAAGAGCATACTGCCTATGTTTTCTTCTAGAAGTTTTATGGTTTCAGGTCTTATATTCAAGTATGTAATTCATTTTGAGTTAAATTTTTTGTGTGGTGTAAGATAATGGTCTACTTTCATTCTTTTGCATGTGGCTGTCCAGTTTTCCCAACACCATTTATTGAAGAGACTTTCCTTTCTCCATTATATGTTCTTGGCTCCTTCAGACAGGAGATTCTTGTCCTCACTGACTTCTTGGAACGTTGGTACTTTGGTCCAGTTTGGAAGATAAAGAAAACAAGATGTGCAAGGCAATTCTTCTGAAGTGCCTTTCTGGCTCTATTTTAATATGGCTCCACTCATGTCATCTTTCACACTAGTGTTTGATAAACATTAAAGAATAAACTTCTTCTTTTATATACAAGGATGGCCTCCAAAGTCATAAATTCTCAACTGGTCATTAATCTGAGAGTCCAGAATGTTGAGCAATTTTTTTTGATCAAATCATTCATTTCACTGGTTCTTAAAAACCTGGAACGTTAAAAACAATTTGCCAGTACCAGGGCTCCACCCCAGAATCTCCAGGGTGGGGCACTGGAAAGAAGGAGAGCAAGAGTAAAGAACACAATGTTTTTTTATCAGTAGGCCAAAGTCCCTTCAAAAGAGAGATTAAAGTAGATCTAGCTGATTAGTCACTTTATGAGTCAAAGAGGCACATGTTGAGTCAGCAGGGAGTGTTTAAAAGCTTTGGATTTCAGGCTCACAGTTGTCTATGTAAGAAGAGACAATGGATCTGGTTGTGGTTCTGCTGCTCTGTCTCTCTTGTTTGCTTCTCCTTTCACTCTGGAAACAGAGCTCCAGGAAAGGGAGGCTCCCACCTGGCCCCACTCCTCTCCCTATTATTGGAAATATCCTGCAGTTAGATGTCAAGGACATCAGCAAATCCTTAAGTAAAGTAAGTATGTTTTATGCTCCTCCAGTGGCTTGCAAAGCGTAAGTAAATTAACCTCTAATTTTAAATAAAATATATTAAAATAAATAAAAATAAAATTATTAAAATATCTCATTGTAAAGTAACTACTCCCTGTGGAGTATTATTTTAGGTGTGTCATTGTCAAGAATAGTGGAATAAACTAATGCACTTTGCAAGTAGAGAAACATTTAGGTCTTTATATAGTAGAATCAAAAAAATGAAGTGGCAAAAGATGGGAGTGTTCCTTCCTTTCTTTGTTTCACCACCAGTTGCCATGATTTTTGGCTGAAGGTAAATGGTAAGGGAAGTGTTTTGTGATTAGAGATTTCATGGAAAAAGTCCTCTACTATATAATCAGTGTGTTTTGTTCAGAACAGCCATGAAAATTGAACTTCTCTGAAGAAACCAATTATGCCTGATGTCAAGGAAATAGCTTGAGATCAGGACCAGCATGACAGAATGAAAGAAAAAACTAACTAGTTAGAGCAAGCTAGGTGGTTACAAAACCCTTTGGCTTCTGCAGAGAGCTACTCTCTGTACCCTTGGATGCTGCGGGGTGGAAGATATTGTTCTTCCATGGGATGCTACATTTCCTGGCACTGCCTCTGTGATGCTCACTCTCTGTGTTAGTAATAGCAGCAGATCACAAACTGAGGTGGGCATTAGAATTTTCTGGGGTGATTCTTGAAAGTATAGATTGCTGGCATTCATCACTACTAAATCAGAATCCTCATGGAACGAGCTTTAAAGGTTATCCTGAAGCAGTCAGCTGGGGCTTGGTTCCAAGGTGGGCACTGGGGACTGATATTTTGCTCAGGCATCAGAGTTCAACTAAGCAAGGTTGAAATTTGGGTCTTCTGTTTATTAGCTGTGAGACACGGGAAATAAATAGGAAATTTCTTGACCCTCACTCTCCTTATCTGTAAAACAGGGTAAATAAAGGTGTTGATTTGATAATTAATCATAATAACTTGAGTACCAATTACCTTGGCCTTTGTCTGGCACATCAGAGTCCCTCTATATGTGTCAGCTATACCAATCTCCATCATGTTTGCATACAGTCGTGTTCCATATAACATTTCAGTCAATGACGAACTGCATATACCATGGTGGTCCCATAAGATTAGTAACATATAGCCTAGTCGTGTAGTAGGCTTTACCATCTAGGTTTGTGTAAGTACACTCTATGATGTTCACACAATGATGAAATCACCTAACAATGCATTTCTCAGAATTTATCCTCATCATTAAGCGACGCTTGGCTGTATAAGATCCACAAATGTTTGAAGTTATGTTTGGCAGAATAAAAATATCAACAATAGGATGATGATTAAAGTCTTAATCTTGCATGAAATCTAGACCAAATTGTGACTTCTTTTGCTAATATTTGTATTTCCTTTCCATTTCCAAGCTCTCAAAAGTCTATGGCCCTGTGTTCACTCTGTATTTGGGCTTGAAGCCCACCGTGGTCTTGCATGGATATGAAGCAGTGAAGGAAGCCCTTATTGATCAGGGGGAGGAGTTTTCTGGAAGAGGCAGTTTTCCAGTGGCTGAAAGACTTAATACAGGACACGGTAGGTGTGTGTGTGTGCATGTTCAGCATTGGTAATGGGAGTGCGGAGAATGGAAAACAGGAATTTAAGGATCTCCTTAGCAGAGCTTGGCCCAGCCCATGCTGGCAAGTGTCAACTTCCTTCTTCTTGTCTAGGACCCCACTCTAGTTTCTGTTTCTCCTCTTGGTAGGAATTATTTTCAGCAATGGAAAGAGATGGAAGGAGATCCGGCGCTTCTCCCTCATGACCCTGAGGAATTTTGGAATGGGGAAGAGGAGTATTGAGGACCGAGTTCAACAGGAAGCCAGCTGCCTTGTGGAGGAGTTGAGAAAAACCAATGGCGAGTGATTCTATACTGTATATCTCTGACCTTAACACTGACCTCTTCCCTAATAACCTCCTCGAAAATGTTTCAGGGGTGGCCAAATACTCCATATGGGTAGTTTCTACTAGTCCTCATGTGGAGGAGAGAGGGTTTGAAGCAGAGAGTCAAGGGAGCTTTTGTGTATGTCTTCTTGTTTTGTGTGTATACTTTCCATTGTGCATACAGTATGGGTATAAAAGATCATCTAATGCTAGTCTTTCCTGAACTTTGTTTATTTTCAAATCAGAAATCATGAGGCATAGTTTTAGTCATTTTCTGAAAGAGTTAGAGAGCAATGTTTTTCCTATAGCATAAATGTGGTTTACTTATTCCAGAACATTTCATCAGGGAACACTTGTGAAGTGAACATGGTGGGAATGACCTCACCACACCCTTGAAATGTAGCATGAAATGAGTGACATGTGCTTTCACTTACTTGGCCTATATTTGTATGGTCAACCTCACTGACACATCTGAGGGTTTCTTCCAAGGCCCGTGCCTACAGTTTTCGCCAATAATGATACACATCTATTGTTTTAATTGCTTAATTTTTTGATTGCACCCCTTGGTGTAGCCTTCATCAACTTGACTTTACTATAAACAACTATTTTAAAACTATCAGCTTGAGTTATTTAGTATTGCTCCCTACTTACTGTATTGTTTTATACATTTTAAGAAATATGTGCTATAGCATAATTCTGAAAATTACACAAATACCAGATAATAAAATGGTTTATGTAACTAGACTTCAACTATTATTAATAAGTCTTTACCCTGCCTTCCCTATTGGTTGGCTCTCTTTTCAACTTTCCTTATATTCCTCTCCCCCTTTATTGGTATCTCAATCATGTTTCTTATTTTCTCTATTTTATGATGCTTTGACATCTTGGGAGCCTTGCAGACCAGGGAGGACCTGCCCTCTCTCAGAGTTAGCTAATTCTTAGATATAGCAAATATCTTGTCTTTGAGCATGCCTTTGATTGGCAAACCAACCTATCCAAAATTCATACCCCCAGCCACCTCCTTTATCAAACTCTCACACATCAAGCCAATATTATCCCTGCCCTAAATGAACGTAGGGCCAGGTACTGGACAAGTAGGGACCACCCCTATAGCCTAGAGTCCCCTGAAATTATTCAAACTATCCAACCCTAAATTTACTCAGTATGCCTACCCTGCCTTGCTCATTTCTTCCCATTGAAACCCCAGTAAAGGCTCTGGTCCATGCTTTCCACTCATTCCTTCTGCTTCTTGACCAATCTTGGTGCTTCCCCACGTGGTACTGCAAGCTTCACCCCCTCCTCTTGGGAACTGAGTAACAAAGTACCTTTTCAATGGTTATCATTTTCTGATCTGTTGGCCTCACCATCTGAATAAAAAACAAAATCCCAACTGCATTTTTAAAACAATTGGATATTGTGTTAGAACTTTTATGGTAACTATTTACACCCCCCGCCCCCCCCACCCCATGCCAGCTCTACTGACCTATGAAGTACTTGTTACAATGAATCTGATCTTTAGCCTAGATTCCAAATTACCCTGCTTTTTGATTCTCTTTCTCAAATGAAGTTAAAGGAAAGATCAAAAATCTGATTTTACCTGAGAATCACACACACACAAAGAAATCTCCGGGCCTTCCCAAATTCTCCCCTACCTTCTAAAATAAAAGATTTTCTGAAAGCTTAGCGTCTTGGCATGTTTCAGCTGAAAAGGATCCTGGCATAGAAGTAGTTAACTAAACAGATTTCCTATTATTTAATTTCCTATCATTTCCTCACAACACTTTTGATTCAAGTCACCCTTAATTACATCTATGATGTAAATTTGGGGGCTTTTTGCGTATAAAGATTTTTGATCATTTTGTTACAACAATTTCATTTAAATATTGCCCAATAAAACAGAAAAATTTTCCTCTGCTTTGGTATATTTATCTGTAAAGTGATGAAATTGACCTAAATGATGGTCCAATTAAAAATTTATAATATACTGTATTCTGTTCATGGCTATATGTAGCAACATCCAGAATTCCACAAGAGGGGAGACTCTGTCCAGATAAATTAAATGTGGGCCTGATTGGTGATGACGAGCACAATTTCCTAGAGCAGGAAATTCTTTTTTTTTCCTTCTCTCAATTGTAATAAATAAAAGGACTCCGTTTATCAATTTAAACTTTTCATTTGCCTTATCTGTGATTTAAGTTTGAGATGAAGATTTCTCATTTTACTTTTATTTTAGGCAAACAAATCTGTCTTCTTATAATTTATATTCTTTTGTGTTAATTTTTCTTCTCATACAACACTGATGGCTTTTGCTTTTTTACGTTCGTGCTATCAAAAACTTGAGTTTTTCCACAATCTTTCTCTCTTTAATCTTTCCATCTGCTGGTTCTACATGCAATTCCTCCAACTATTCATTATATGTAAAAGGTTTCCATGTCCATAACTATTTTCTTACTTCCTACATCAATGCTTAATCATATACAAGCCTACCAGATGGATGTGATTCTGCACTGATAACCTGAATTATTAAGTGTTTTAAAAAGTGGCCTTTTAAAACTTTTTTCTATTGCTCTTCAAAACAATAGGCACCTTGGGTCAGAATCGAGTAAACAAAGGCAGTGATGTAAATGGAGTATTTGGAAAACCCACTATTAAATAAACTAGGATGGAATGGTCAGTTCACATTTAAGGGAAAAGTGATGTGTTGATATTAAGCATGCTGAAATTTTGGCTGATAAGGAAATTTCTAGGTAGATATTGCTTTAGAGATTCTAAAATTACTCGTTATCAACAACAAAGTTTAATCTGTATATTTTAATGGTATTTTATAAATCTTTCCAATTCTTTAGCTTCACCCTGTGATCCCACTTTTATCCTGGGCTGTGCTCCCTGCAACGTGATCTGCTCCATTATTTTCCACAATCGTTTTGAATACAGAGATCAGAATTTTCTTAACTTGCTGGAAAGATTTAATGAAAACCTGAGGATTCTGAGCTCTCCATGGATACAGGTGAGGTCAAGTTTTCCCTTCCTGAGAAATCATTTATGCTCTTCTCTCTGACAAGTCCAAAATCCATGTAGACAAAGTTGTGAGGTGAATGCTTGATAACTGGACATTCTGATATTATAATGTGGCAACTCTGGAAATCAGATACTTCCTCTGCCTTGTTTTGTTTTGTTTTGCTTCTATAGGTTTTTTTGATTCTTTTTTTGCCTTCTATAGGCTGTAGCTGTTTGTTTATTTAGTGATTTTTCTAAACTATTTTTGCAAAGTCTTTTTTTTTGTCATATGTGATCTCTGAAATATCTATTCCTGTAGCTTGTGTTTAGCCAGTATTTTGACAGAGATTTCCTTGAATGTGAGGAGCCAAAAAGAAGAGAGAGAGAGAGAGAGAGAGAGAGAGAGAGAGAGATAAAGAGATGGAGATAGACATAGAGATAGAGGGAGTAAGAAAGAAACAAAGAAACTAAGAAAGAAAGAAAAAGAGAAAGAAAGGAAGGAAGGAAGAAAGGAAGGAAGGAAGGAGGGAAAATACTTCTTCCAGATGGCGCTGTGCTGGGGCACTCCTTCAATGCATAGCCAGGCCTTTTTCAACTCTGTCTTGGTCTTCACTTGTTGCTTGCACTGAGCCTAGAGATCAGCCGTAGGTGGAAGCTTCGGGTTTTCTCAGGTCTTTTCTTAGCCTATGTCCTGCCCTGGGCATGTACGCAGCTTTCTAAATTCCTCAGTATACATGGGTGCTTTTGAATGCCCTAATTTCCCGAAGATACTTTCTCCTCAGCTTTTCTTCCCAGGGGTTTGGTGCTCTATTGTATGCCTTAACTGTCATCTTTTGCCCCAGGAGGCTGTGGGTTTCTCATTCACCTTACGAGGTTTTTGAGTCATGTCTGCTGCTTTCCACCCTGAGTTCTAAGTTAAAGGAAACAAAGACAAGTGCATGTGTCAGTCCTTCAGGTTGTCCGAGACAGATTAGAATAGAGAAACACAATTCTCTGCAAGTGAGGTCTGCTCTGGGCCCTCTGGAACCAGGAACCAGGGCTCCACACAAGAAACTGCCCTTGTCAGACCCCTGCCAAGCTGAGGAGGGAGGTGGGACAAGGGCAAATAAAAAAATGCCACAAAGCTTTCCCACCACTTTTAAGGTGGCTTTTTCTCAGTTCAGCATTCACTTGATTGCTGTAAACTTTTGTTTTCTAGAGCTCTGACAAGTTGATTCTCACAGTTTTTGCTTGATTTTTCGTGTTTTTTATGGAGGGATGGGCCTTTGGAGCCATCTACTGTGCCGTTTTTGCTGATGTTACTATGTGAAGTGAATGTTTGAAGACCATCAACCTGCCCAGAGCTTAGTGTTATGGAGTGAACATCTGGGCAAGATGGCCAAGCCCTTTATTTTACACACAAGAAAACAAACCCTTGAATATAGAGCTGGAATTCAAGATCTTTATCTCCCGGCCAGTCATTTTCCCACGAACCTCCAAAGCCCAGTTTCCATAAACTACTTTGGTGATGGCCCAAAAGCATGGCCATAGCCCTGAATGGACATCCAGGCTTTTGCTGAAAGGTTTCCATTGCCCGCAGGCTTGTCCTCCAATCGCACTTAGTGACCTCTTCATCACATTCCTTGGCAGAAATACCCAAATTCAGGAAGGAAGAGAATATCTCCTTCAAGGAGGGAGAGTGTTTGGGATCACAGATGCTGCCAGGGAACACTGACTAGCGTAGGGGTGTCGGATGCTTCAGTTGGGGTCCTAGCTGACAAGGTAATTGGGTTTGGCATGACGAAATGATTGGTTTCTTGGTGTTGAACCATACACAAACATTACAACTTTGCCCTGTGCTGAGCTGATACATCCTGCACTCTGCCTGAATAAAATTACGTGATCTTAGAGAATTCAGTTACCTGCTCTGGTGCACAGGTGCTTTATCCATAAAATATTGAATTGAGTTTCATGGCATTTTTGCATCCCTCTCATTTATGAAATAGTGATTCTATTTCTGAGGTTGCCTGGTAGTAGTAGAAATAGCTTTGTGCTTTATGTCAGGTTGCCCAAGCTCTCTTGCTCTCTGTCCTCATCTATAAATTGTGAATCACAGTAATTCATGCCATTCTATATTTCAAGGTTGTAGGGAAGAATTAACGTAAAAAATGAGAGAATTGACATAAAGATGCTTTAATACTATAAGGTTGATGAATAACTATAGGAAATTGTCATCATCTGGTCAGAGTTTTTGCCCTTAAATACTTTTATCAGCCTGGAGAATTATTTTACATGTACAATAGCAAATCTTCTGGAGGATAGAGACCATTTTTTATTCACCTCAGTTTTTAACCAGGGCTTGGTATATGGTATATATGTCTTCAATTTTTAATTTAATATATTTTTTTAATCTTTAAGGTTTGCAATAATCTCCCTGCTCTCATGGATTATCTCCCAGGGAGTCATAACAAACTGTTTAAAAATTTTAATTATGTGAAAAGTTATGTTTTGGAGAGAATAAAAGAACACCAAGAATCCTTAGACATTGACAATCCTCGGGACTTCATTGATTGTTTCCTGATCAAAATGGAACAGGTAAAATGTTAATGACAGATTGGTTATTTGTTTGCCTGCATTTTTTGGTTCATTGATTAGTTCTGTACTTGGTAGGAATGTTTAAATGGTCAGTCAAGAAATGCTTGCGAAGAACTTTAGGCACCTATTGTGTGCATAGATCTGGACTGAGCATCATGGAAGATTTAAAATTGACTTGTTAAATAACTAGAATACATGGACCCTGTTTCATAGGTACTAATAATCTACCTGAGGGCAAAGAGAAGGTATACCTCAGGTGAAATGGAAATACAGACAAGCTAGAAAATACAAAATACTGAGCCATAAAGTGAAAGTCAATGCGATCGTTTCACACAGTGTGTGGGTGAGTGAGAAGGAAGGGTTTAATCTACGCGAGCTTCCTACATGTCCAGAGGTTTATATATTTTTAAATATTTGCAATAAGGAAGAGGGGAGGGACTTTCAGATGGGTAGAATGGTGTAATGAGAGGTTCAGAGTTGTGTCGTGGTAAAGAGATTAGATGGAGGGAAGAGAAAAGCCTTAACCGAACATAATCAAAAGTGAATTTGGTGGGGCAGGCCCTGTGGCGTAGCAGTTACGTGCGTGCGCTCTGCTGCTGGCGGCCCGGGTTCGGATCCCAGGCGTGCACTGATGCACCACTTCTCAGGCCATGCTGTGGCGGCGTACCATATAAAGTGGAGGAAGATAGGTACAGATGTTAGCCCAGGGCCAGTCTTCCTCAGCAAAAAGAGGAGGATTGGCATGGATGTTAGCTCAGGGCTGATCTTTCTAGCAAAAAAAAAGAATTTGGAGAGATACGGACTTGGGGTTTGGTGTTTGTCAAGTAACTGTCAACCTGAATGTTGACATGAAAAGTTTTGATTTGGTCAAGTATATGTATGAGCCACAACAAGGGTGGAATACAAATAATTATTAGGGAAAATTGTCCTGGGAGTTCTGTAGGGTGAACGGTACGATGAGAATGGAGCTCAAGGACCAGCTGTGAGATTATTCATTTCTTTGGACTTCAGCTTGATGAAAGTCTAGACCATGGAAATGAAGAGGATTCTGAAGTAAAATCAAGTTGTCCATGTTATCATATTCTCAGAGGTTTATAGAGACTGGTTTTGGTTAGAGGAGAGTATGAGAGCCAAATTGTAGGAACTGTATGGGAAATTTCAATAATAAGACCAGATATTCTATCTGAGAAGTTAATCAAGGAGGGAAAGATTCAAATAGTGATTCTGAATAGTAAATTTGAATAATAGTAGGGTCAAATTGGAAATTTTATGACAAGAGTAATACAGATGCCATGAGGACACTTGTGTATGTGCAAAGTCCTCCTTGAACTGGGGAGAGACAGAATCTAGACACACTGAAAAGAGCAAACTTTAGAGAAGGAAATTCCTTCATCTGAGGCCACCATTATTTTATTCAACCACTTTGTAGCACTGGGCAGAATTGAGAAATCAGTGAGTAGGCTAAAATGGCAAGGAGTCAAGGATGCTGATGAAGGTGACTTGCAAAGAACTGTCCATGGTTTTGACTGGACTGCCCAAATCATGTGTTCTAGATGGAAAGAAGTGAAGAAGATGGAATGGTTTGAAGAAACTGGAGGAGGGAAGAAACAAATTATTTTTACTCTCTGCCTCCTCTGCTGCTAGGACAATGATTTTTATCTTTCTGGGGTCCAATGTATTTGAGAATCTCATGAAAATTATGGACATCTTTTCAGGGGAATTCACCCATATGAGGTCCCAGTAGTTTGCACATATTTCGAGGAATTTCCTCAATGTTATGGCGCCTCTCCGTTAATCACGTGCTGAGGAGGGCTCTAAGTTCTCTGGTATTTCAACTAACTGTGGCTATTTCCTCAATACTATACTTAAAAACTGCATTGTTCCTCTGGACTTCCCTATAGTGTTTTGAGTCTAGCTAATTTTTTTGGTAACATCTCCCTGAGTGTAATTCACATATCATACCCAACACACATTTTAAGTACAATTCAACAGGGTAGTATTATCACAGACTTGTGCACTCACCACCACAATCAATTTCTAAGTATTTTCATCACCCTGAAAAGAAAACCCTGTGTTCTTTAGCAGTCACCCCTACTGCCCCCCAAGCCTTCCAGCTCTAGACAACACTAATCTACTTTCTGTCTCTATAGATGTGCTAATATGGACATCTCATGTTAATGGAATTATACAATACGTGGTCTTTGGCATCTAGCTTCATTTGCATAACATGTTTTCAAGGTTCATTGCTGTTGTAGCATATATCAGTACTTCATTCCTTTATGTGGTTGAATGATATTCCAGTGTGGATAAATCACATTTTATATATCTGTTCGTTGGTTGATGGACATTTTGGCTGTTTCTCTTTTTTGGCTATTATGAATAATGTTGCTATGGACATTTGTGTACAGGTGTTTTTGGGGATATATGTTTTAATTAATTTTAGGTATATACTTGGTGTGGAATTGCTAGGTCGTATGGTAGCTTTATATCTAACTTTTGGAGGAAGTGTAGCTGGATCAAACCCTAAACATAAGAGCTAAAAATATAAAACTCTTAGAAGAGAACCTAGGAATGAAAGTGGCTGCAACATTTTATGTTCTCACCAGCAGTGCATGAGGGTGACAACTTCTCCACATCCTTGCTGATGCTTCCTATTGTCAGTCGTTTTGATTCTAGCCATCGTACTAGGTATGAAGTGGTCTTTTATTGTGGTTTTGATTTGCATTTCCCTGATGGCTAATGATGTTTAGCTTCTTTCATGTGCTTATGGGCCATTTGTATATGTCTTTAGAGAAATGTCTATTTCAATCCTCTGCCCATTTTTTAATTTTAGCTATTACTTTTATTTTTATTTATTTATTTATTTATTTATTTATTTATTTTTTTGTGAGAAAGATCAGCTCTGAGCTAACATCTGTGCTAATCCTCCTCTTTTTTGCCGAGGAAGACCCACTCTGAGCTAACATCTATTGCCAATCCTCCTCCTTTTTTTTTTCCCCAAAGCCCCAGTAGATAGTTGTATGTCATAGTTGCATATCCTTCTAGTTGCTGTATGTGGGACGTAGCCTCGGCATGGCCGGAGAAGCGGTGTGTCGGTGCGCGCCCGGGATCCAAACCCCGGGCCGCCAGTAGCCGAGTGCGCGCACTTAACCGCTAAGCCACGCAGCCAGCCCCTAGCTATTACTTTTAAATTGTTGATCTGGAAGTGTTCTTATGTGTTATAGATACAAGTCCTTTATCCGATATACAATTTGCAGATGTTTTCTCCCATATTGTGGGTTGTCTTTTCATTTTCTTGATAGTGTCTTTTGAAATACAAAAGTTTTTAATTTTATGAAATCCAATTTATTTATTTTCTTTCTGGTTTCTTGTGCATGTGGTGTCATATCTAAGAAACTATGATCTAATCCAAGGTCACAAATATTCACCCCAAATTTTCTTATAAGAGTTTATTGTTTTAGCTATTATATTTAGGTCTATGATTTATTTTAAATCAATTTTTGATGATAGTATGAGGAATGGGTCCATCTTTATCCTTTTGCATATGGGTATCCAGTTGTCCCAGCACCATTTGTCGCAAAGAATATTTTTCCATATGGAATGGTCTTGGCACCTTTGCTGAAAATCGTTTGACTGTAAATGTGATGGTTTAGTTTGGACTCTCAACTCTATTTCATTGACCTACGTATCTTGTTTTATGCCAGTACCACACAATTTGGATTACTATAGGCTTGATGTAAGTTTTGATATTGGGAAGTGTGAATCCTCCAATTTTATTCTTCTTTTCTAAGACTGTTTTGTCTATTCTTGGTCACTTAAATTTCCATATGAATTTTAGAATAATCTTGTCAATTTCTGTAATGGTGCTAGCAGGGATTGTGTTTACCTACAAACAAGAGAAAACCCAATTAACAATGATTTAAAGAAATACTGGTCCATTTATCTCATATACAAGGAGTGTCACGTTGGGCAGTTCAGGGCTAGTACAGTATCCCTGAGGTATCATGGACCAGGTGCCTTCCACTTTTCTTCACCATACCTAGGCTTCACCTTTGTACTCAAATACTCATGTTCCAAGATAATGTCTACACCACCTCCGCCTTTGTATCTGTGTTGTAAGTAAGAAGAAGGAAAGAGAAACAGTGGCATCAACAGGTTCCTGCTTGTAGGTCATTGATATGAAATATGTTACTTGGCCAATGTAGCTGTAGAACAGGTTGGGAAATGAAATTTTTGTGCAAGGAAGGGATGAGGAGGTAGGAAATGAAGACTGGGTCAACTAATCCACACACTCTGCCATACCATACAGTTGTTGTTTTAATACTGCACTCTCTAGTTTCTAAGTTTGCTTAACTTTATAACCGTATGAGTTATTTTGGATTCATTTAATTAAATATGGTGGCAAACTGTCAACTAATTACATAAAATAATTTCCAGGAAAAACACAAGCAAGAGTCGGAGTTTACTTTTGACAACTTGATAGCTACTGCATTTAATTTGTTTGGAGCTGGGACAGAGACAACGAGCACCACCCTGAGATATGCTCTCCTCGTCCTGCTGAAGCACCCAGAGGTCACAGGTATGACCAACATGGTGGGCAGGGTGAACTTCAGAAAAGATGTTGAGAAGACACTGCTAGGGTCCTCCACCTTATTTTTCTTAGAGAAGACTTACTATTGCAATTTCTGTGCCATCAGCTATAATTTGTCCAAATGTGAAAAAAGGATAAAAGTGAGAAAAATTAGCATGAGAGGGCAGAACGGCTGAGAAAAGCGAAGAGAGTGTGAGTAGCAGCAAAAGCAATAAAACTATGGATTTCATCAATAAGAACTGAATAAATGTCTGGATTTCATGGGAAGGGATCTGCAGCAGGAACAGCCGCATAAATTGGCCTAGGATTGAATATTAGTTTTCTTAAGAAGAGGCCACTTTAAATGGTAAGTGTGTTTATGTAGAAATCTTTCCTTCTTCTGAAGATGCAGTGTTCTAATGCTGGGGTAAGGAAGATTGGAGCTTTATTTGTTGAAATATAGCAGAAATTCTAGAAATTAGGTGAGAAGGCCTGAGAAAATTTCCATAATTTGGGAAGTATTTTAAAAGGTTAGATTTACAAAAAAGGTATATGCTATTTAGATAGTGATGCGCCTAAAGGATTTTTTTTTTCCTTTTTAAACAACTTTATTTTTCCAGCTTTATTGAGGTATAATTAACAAATAAAAATTGTATATATTTAAGGAGTACAATGTGCCTTTTTGTGCCTGGCTTATTTTACTTAGCATAATGTCCTCATGGTTCATCCACGTTGTTGCAAATGGCAGGATTTCCTTCTTTTTTATAGCTGAATATTATTTCATTGTATATGTGTATACACCACGTATTCTTTATGTATTCATCCATTGATGGACACTTCGGTTGTTTTCATATCTCAGCTACTGGGGATAATGCTGCAATGAACATGAGAGTGCAGTTATCTCTTTGAGCTACTGATTTCATTTCCTTTGGAAGTATACCCACAAGTGGGATTGCTCAATCATATGGTAGTTCTATTTTTAATGTTTTGAGGAACCTCTATACTGTTTTCCATAATGACTGTACCAGTTTACATTCCCATTAACAGTGTACAAGGGATCCCTTTATTCCACATCCTTGCTAATACTTATCTCTTGTCTTTTTGATAATAGCCATCCTCACAGGTGTAAGGTGTTAACTCATTGTGGTTTTGATTTACATTTCCCTAATGTTAGTTGTTGGGTACCTTTTTGCGTACCTCTTGGCCATTTGTATGTCTTCTTTGGAAAAAATGTCTATTTGGGTCTTTTGTCCATTTTTTAAATTGATGTCTTAATAGTTTATAACATTGTGGAATTTTGGTGGTACGTTATTGTTTGTCAGTCACCATATAAATACCTCCCTTCACCCCTTGTGCCCAGCCCCCAACCCCCTTGTCCCTGGTAACCACCATATAGTTCTCTCTGTCCATGTGTTGGTTAATATTCCACATATAAATGAGATCATGTGGTGTTTGTCTTTCTCTTTCTGACTTATTTTACTTAACATAATACCCTCCAGGTCCATCCATGTAGTTGCAAATGGGACGATTTTCTCTTTTTTATGGCTGAGTAGTATTCCATTGTATATATATACCACATCTTCTTGATCCAGTCATCAGTCGAGGGACATTTGGGTTGCTTCCACTTCTTGGCTATAGTGAATAATGCTCCAATGAACATAGGGGTGCATAAGCCTCTTTGGATTGTTGATTTCAGGTTCGTTGGATAGATTCCCACTAATGGGATAGCTAGCTCATAGGGTATTTCTATTTCTAATTTTTTGAGGAATTTCCATACTGTTTTCCATAAAGGTTGCACCAATTTGCATTCCCACCAGCAGTGAATGAGGGTTCCCATTTCTCCACAACCTCTCCAACATTTGTTTTTTTGTGTGTCTTGGTGATTATAGCCATTCTAGTGGGTGTAAGGTGATATCTTAGTGTAGTTTTGATTTTCATTTCCCTGATGATTAGTGATGTTGAACATCTTTTCATATGCCTGTTGGCATCTGTATATCTTCTTTGGAGAAGTGTCTGTTCATTTCCTCTGCTCATTTTTTGTTCAGGTTGTTTGTTTTTTGTTGTTCAGTTGTGTGAGTTCTTTATGTATTATGGAATTAACCCCTTGTTGGGTATATGATTTGCAAATATTTTCTCTCAGCTGGTGGGTTCTCTATTCATTTTGGTCCTGGTTTCATTTGCCTTGTAGAAGCTCTTTAATCTGATGAAGCCCCACTTGTTTATTTTTTCTTTAGTTTCCCTTGTCTGAGTAGACATGGTATCTGAAAAGATTCCTTTATGACCAATGACAAATAGTGTATTGCCTATATTTTCTTCTAGGAGTTTTATAGTTTTTCAGGTCTCACCTTCATGTCTTTGATCCATTTTAAGTTAATTTTGTGAATGGTGAAAGCAAGTGGTCTACTTTCATTCTTTTGCATGTGGCTGCCCAGTTTTCCCAGCACCATTTGTTGAAGAGACTTTCCTTTCTCCGTTCTATGTTCTTAGCTCCTTTGTCAAAGATTATCTGTCCATAGATGTGTGGTTTTATTTCTGGGCTTTCAATTCTGTTCCATTGATCTGTGTGTCTGTTTTTGTACCAGTACCATGCTCTTTTGATTACTATTGCTTTGTAGTATGTTTTGAAGTCAGGGATTGTGATGCCTCCAACTTTGTTCTTTTTTCTCAGGATTGCTTTAGCTATTTGGAGTCTTTTGTTGTCACATATTAATTTTAGGATTCTTTGTTCTATTTCTGTGAAGAATGTCATTGAGATTCTGATTGGGATTGCATTGAATCTGTAGATTGCTTTAGGTAGTATAGACATCTTAACTATGTTTATTCTTCCAATCCATGTGCATGGGATATCTTTCCATTTCTTTATGTCATCATTGATTTCTTTCAATAATGTCTTATAGTTTTCATTGGATAGTTATCACCTCCTTGGTTAGATTTATTCATAGATATTTTATTCTTTTTGTTGCAATTATAAATGGAATTACCTTTTGAGTTCTCTTTCTGTTAGTTCATTATTAGCATACAGAAATGCAACTGATTTTTGTAAGTTGATTTTGTATCCTGAAATTTTGCTGGAGTTGTTGATTATTTCTAATAGTTTTCCAATGTATTCTTTAGGGTTTTCTATATATAAAATCATGTCATCTGCAAATAGTGAGAGTTTCACTTCCTTGTTGCCTATTTGTATTCCTTTTATTCCTTTTTCTTGCCTAATTTCTCTGGCCAAAATCTCCAGTACTATGTTGAAGAAGAGTGGCGAGAGTGGACACCCTTGTCTTGTTCCTGTTCTCAGAGGAATGCCTTTCAGTCTTTCCCCATTGAGCATGATATTGGCTATGGATTTGTCATATATGGCTTTTATTATGTTGAGGTACTTTCCTTCTATACCCATTTTGTTGAGAGTTTTTATCATAAATGGATGTTGGATCTTGTCAAATGCCTTCTCTGCAACTATTGAGATGATCATGTGTTTTTTTTTTCCTCGTTTTTTAAATGTGGTGTATCACGTTGATTGATTTGTGGATGTTGAACCATCCCTGTGTCCCTGGTATAAATCCCACTTGGTCATGGTGTATGATCTTTTTAACGTATTGCTGTATTTGGTTTGCCAATATTTTGTTGAGGATTTTTGCATCTATGTTCATCAGTTTTATCGGCCTGTAGTTTTCCTTCTTTGTATTGTCCTTGTCTGGCTTTGGTATTGGGGTGATGTTGGCCTCGTAGATTGTGTTAGGAAGTGCTCCATCTTCTTCTATTTTTCGGAACAGTTTCAGAAGGATAGGTATTAAATCTTCTTTGAATGTTTGGTAAAATTCTCTGGAGAAGCCATCTGGTCCTGGACTTTTATTTTTTGGGAGGTTTTTGATTACTGTTTCAATCTCTTTACTTGTGATTGGTCTATTAAGATTCTCTATTTCTTCTTGACTCAGTTTTGGGAGATTGTATGAGTTTAAGAATTGATCCATTGTCCAATTTGTTGGCATATAGTTTTTCATAGTATTCTCTTATAATCCTTTGTATTTCTGTGGTATCCATTGTAATTTTTCCTATTTCATTTCCAATTTTATTTATTTGAGCCCTCTTTCTTTTTTTCTTAGTGAGTCTGGCTGAGGGTTTGTCAATTTTGTTTATCTTCTCAAAGAACCAACTCTTTGTTGCATTGATACTTTCTAATGTTTTTTGTTTCAATTTCATTTATTTCTGCTCTAATTTTTATTATTTCCCTCCTTACGCTGACTTTGGGCTTTGTTTGTTCTTCTTTTTCTAGTTCTGTTAGGCATAGTTTAAGGTTCTTTTTTTGGGATTTTTCTTGTTTGTTAAGGTGGGCCTGTATTGCTATGAGTTTCCCTCTTAGGACCGCTTTTGCTGCATCCCATATGAGTCGGTATGGTGTGTTTTCATTTTCATTTGTCTCCAGATTTTTTTATTTCTCCTTTAATTTCATTGATGATCCATTGGTTCTTCAGTAGCATGTTGTTTAATCTCCACATTTTTGTCACTTTCCGTTATTTTCTTGTGGTTGATTTCTAGTTTCATAGCATTATAGTTGGAAAAGATACTTGTTATGATTTCAATCTTTTTAAATTTATAGAGGCTTGCCTTCTTTCCCACCATATGGCCTATCATTGAGAATGTTCCATAAGCGCTTGAGAAGAAGGTGTAGTCAGCTGTTTTGGGATGGAGTGCTCTGTTTATGTCTACTAAGTCCATCTCGTCTAATTTTTCATGTAAGTCCACTATTTCTTTGTTGACTTTTGTCTGGATGATCTATCCATTGATGTAAGTGGGGTATTATGATCCCCTAATATTATTGTGTTGTTAATATCTCCTTTTAGGTTTGTTAATAGTTGCTTTATGTACTTTGGTCCTCTTATGTTGGGTGCATATATATTTATAACTGATATGTCTTCTTGGTGGAGTGTCTCTTTTATCATTATATATTGCTCCTCTTTGTCTCTCATTATCTGTTTTATCTTGAAGTCTACTTTGTCTGATACAAGTATGGCAACACC